ACAGTCATATAAATATAAATACGAACATACAAAATTTGGTTTGATAGTAGAAGTGACAGAGACAGAGAAATGATAACAGTTTAATCGCAACCACGTTCATTGTGCAGATTTAAAGTAATTATGCAATACCTTTTTGAAGTTACTCAGATTCATCACTGCTTTTACGGATTCAGGAACTGAGTTCCAGAGCCTTACAGCATTAATGAAACTTGTTGAAACTACACGGATGTTTTTAAATAATGAACTATAAAAAACTAACCAAAATTAAATAACAGCAAAAATAATATTTTAAAACTTGTGAAAATTTAATGCGGCTATAATTTGTTCGACTACTGTACATAAGTTGACTATGATTACTCGGCCATGCTATCATAGTAGCACAATGCCACTAAGCGCATTTTAAAATTTTCAGGCAATAGCCTCATGCGATTATCGCTTATATTTTTTATTGTTTGTGTAAAATATTTTATTTTTATCAGCATTTTTCTTTTAATCAAAATATGCTGAAATAAAAGTGAAATTAAAAAAAAAATTGCCAGAAGGCACACCCGAAAAAAAATCCTGGCTACGGCCCTGGTTATTTGTACAATGATTTTCGGTTGTTGTGTCCAAACGCATAACCCGAATCCAAAAACTTTAACATATACGTGTAATCAAAGGATTCACATTTTATTTAAGATATGTAAATGTTTCAAATTTCCTACCACTAGCTGATTAATAAACTCGGTTTGCACTATGAACTTTTTTGCAAATTTCGATGCGCAAAAATACTGCGGACGGCGTAGCCGGAGTGATATGCACAAGAAATGTTGTATACCTTTGAAATGCGGAACAGAAAGGAGAATTCTACTTAGTAAGGGTTATAATCCCTAAGCGCGACCGAAGGCAGAAGCAACCGCAACAGGTGGTGGTCCTAACAAAGTGCATATTTTCAATGGCTTGGAAGAAGCTGTTATTACATTAACTGGATTGAGAACCAGAGCTTCAGGCAAAGGAGGAGTTCTGGCTTGTGGTTCCACAATTCAGCCAGAAGCTGACATAGATGCGCCCATGGTTACTATGCCCGACAGCTCCTCATACCTTTGTGAATCCATTGCCGTAATTTTCCTCAAAATATGTAAAATTAACCAATTTTACAATAAACTGGCACATGATGAGTGTTTTTTTTATTCCTTTCCACTTTGTTTTCCTTCATTCAGCTATCTTCGAAAAACAACTGATAGCTGGCAATGCTGTACATGTTTCCGCAAGGGTTGCAGCATGTGGATTTTTCGTTTTTCGTAGCGTAGCTACGAATTACGAATTACGAAAATTCGGGTTCTAGAATAAGGGCCGGTTGTTCAATGTCTGGTTATCACTACCCTGCAAAAATCGTTGGACCATGTAGTCTATTTGTGGTAAATTGGAGTACTTACAAAAGTGTTCCTCTGTCATGCTGTAGCGGACCAACTCGTATCTCTGCGCCAGCTTATTGTTTGTTATCCGATAACTGCTCGTGTTTTAACGAAATGTAATTGAAGTTGAGCATTTGAAAGCACATTTGCATGTCTGGCTGTAGCTGAACGTGTAGAGATGCTCGCTGTTAGTTCTTAGCTCCCTGCATGTTCGGGTTCGAATGCCGTCAGAGGCTACATGTAATTTTTAAATTTTGTCTTGGTTTTTATTAATTTCGAAAAAGCATTTGAGAAGTGAAGAACAAAAGCGTGTACAAACGAAAAAATATAACAACAATGCCATTGTTAATATGTTGGAGTAGTTTTGTGCTACTCTGATGTAATGCAGGGATGGAGTATATGGTCCTGCCCTAGGACATCGCAGTGTTAATTGGACCATATTTTTTATATGAATTGTGGTTAATTTTGGAGTACTCTTTGGTCCTTAGGGAGTACTCTTTACACGCATGCATGGAGTAGTCGCGATTTTTGCAGGGTACTTGCCGGTTAAACATCATTATCGACGCTTTCGTCACCATGCTTATAACATGTGATCGATAAAGCAGTCGTTGTATTTAATCGGAGCTTCTACCTCCGATTTCTGCAAATCAGACATTGAACAACCGGCCCTAAGGGGGATAGTTATCGACGTTACCGACTCCCTGTTATATGCATGGAGTCGAAGACGTCGATAACGATGTTTAACCGCAGATTGGTGTTAACCAGACATTGAGTAACCGGCCCTTAATTTGCATATGCAACCAAAGGCAGTCGCGTGATTTTAAATGTGTTTTTGTTTAATGAATTGTGACTAATTGGTTATATTATAGTCATAAAGAAAGTTATAACTATTCGAGTAAAGTGTAAAGTGAAGGGGAATATAAAAATATATTGGTGAAGTGGCTGCTTTAAGGAGAATAGGAGTGATAAAAGTACGCTAATTTCCAAATTTTACAAAAAAGGGCATATTTCAAACCCAATTTGTAAATAAATTAGTGACCAAAAATTACTAAAGTAGGTGTTAAAATAATGTGTAGAACCTTGACTACAAGTGTGTGCAAAGTCACCCCTTTGGACGCAATACCTCGAAATAGTTAGGCCACGTTCTAAACAGTATCCGCTGATCCTGTCAAAATCACAAGGAGCGGTTTAGCCAAATATGTAATACTCCTATATTGGCAGTAAGAGCTAGTACCGTCCGAAAACACTACAGTACAGATATATCAATAAACACGTACGAAAGAAAGGGAACACATACGTTTATAAATAAACATGTACACAACACATATACAAAAACGGCACTCAAGTACACAATACGGTAATTCTCTAGGGTGGGGTAACAACCCCTAAAAGAGGTGCGGAAAAGTCGGGAGGGGTACCAAACGACGCGTTTCGGGGCTGAGATTTCCTATAATGGACCATTTCCTATATCACCCAAAGTATTACGAATTTTTTAATGAAATTCGCAGGGGGTGTTGAGGAGGTGCTCATTGACCGATATCATCAACATTTTGTGTACAAATGCTAATAGTTTTTAAGTTATTCGTTGTTAAAATTTCCCCACTGCTTCACAATTATTTTTTTATAAACACGGCACTAATCACTTTTCTTTTTATTAATACACCATCTTTTCTTCATAAACAAATGGATGCACATCTTTTTTCACTAAATATTTAGCCATTAATGCTTATAAAAGTGTTCTTAAAATATTTTTCTATTCTCAAAGAATAGTAAACACACAATTGTTCAGCGATGGCCGCCATGAATGAGGTGCCACATCGTTGAAAATGTTAATAGTTCTTTTTAGACTGCGGCGCTTTTTTCTAAAAAATCCAATACTTCCATATATCTTGAAAATTTTTAATAAAAAATCGCGCGATTTTTTATTACAAATTTTCGCCTGCGG